GAAAACCCAAGTTCCTTAAATTTGACTTTCATTATTTAATCAACATCATTCATAGTGCTTGTGTGACTGGCCTCGGTTGAAGTTGTCCTGATACGCTCATCTGTATTAGGTCACCAGTGAGGAGAGCAAATGTACACAATAACCCGAATATTCTGGTCAAATTTAAACACTGGGTGATGGATATTTGTATAACTTGCAGCTTGACCATCTGACTAGGTTGGGCATAAAGGGCTATGAAATAAATTTTAATTATATATATTTTGATACCCACAAAATAACCATAGTGAACAATTACTGTCTGTTAAAGCAAATCCATCAGAGAATCTAGAACATTAAATGTTACTACTACCCTCCAATAGCATGTTGTCAGTTACTTTAAAAAATTGACTATCCCTATTCATCCAATTTATCCAGAGCTTTACAAAATAATCTTTACCTTTATTTATATGCATATGCTTAACACGTGATTCACAGGAAATTTAGATACATTTACTCACAGTGGAGGATGCATTGGCTCCCTGAGTCGATTGAGAAAATGACATGATTAGTTCCAAAGTGAATCTTACTTATTGCAGGTGGTTTTATCTGTAGCAGAAATTACCAATTCTTATGATATTGAAACTGAGGAAATTTACTGAAAGAAAATTATCCACTCACATTATGTCATTTGAGTGTGTGTGCATCACCCATACATACACAAATATATATAATTTGAAATGTATGCAAATATCAAGGGGCAACATTCAACAGCCCATTTAAAATTTCAACATAGTGGTTTACCTCAATGTTTCTTAATGTTTTAATAAACATTATGTACTAAATTCAAAAATCAACTATAAGTTCTCAACTGCAATAATGTGTTTAAGTTTTGGAGATAAGTATTGTGCATTTCATTATTTAACAATAAACAACACACTATAGAAAGCATAAGTCCTCAGCACTTTAATCTCTATTAATATTTTTGAAATGTAGAGATATTCCAATTTATCTTTTAAGTTACTTAGCATTCATTTCCCTTCAATAATTTTAATTTACAAATCCACCTTTTTCACATGCAAATTCCACTTCAGTGATTTACATACCTTATAAATCAGGTGGTTTTAATTCAGGCACAGTCTAAGATATTTACAGTTAATTTCTTCAAAAGTAAGTAAGAAAATGTCTTTTTGAAAAAAAGTTTTGCAAATTAATTAATTTGTTTGTTGAAATGATTGATGTCTGCAGTAATATCATTGTTTACATATTTCTTCTTTTCATAGTTCATTCTAACATAGCACTGCTGCTTCAGGCTCCATAATCTAAAGTCTCCCTGTGATAGTTATGCATGAAAAATATGTACTATTTCACTTACATGAGAAAATTATGATATGAAAAATAGTCAAATAAAGATAATTTCATATCATAATTTTCTCATGTAAGTGAAATAGTGCATCAAATAATTTCAATCAATCAATAGTAGTGAACAATTTACTAACTTCTGTGTGAGAGAAACAAATAGTCACTGGATTAATAAAAAAAAAAAGATAATTTCTCTGCATCTATGCTGTCATATGTTTTAAATGGGCTTTTTATCTTTGACCTAATAGTTTGAAAAAGGGAAAATGCTTAGAAATTTTCTATTTTTCTTGGGTTCTATTGTTCAGAGAGACAAAACATATCTGAATTTTTAAATATTTATTTGTGGTTTTAAGTATTATATTTTAATCTAACTGAAATCAAGCAAGTGAAAAGATAACATTTTCCTTTTTTCACTAAAACCCCAGTGTCAGGAATAGTTTTTAAATGGCTGTGGGTGATCAGTGAAAAAAAGCAAATGTGGATAAAGACCTTAGCTTGTGCTTAGCACATGTTTACAAGAGTTTTATTATTTTAGATCTATAAGGAATGTATTAATTGAAAGTGATTGAGAAATAGCGTGATCTCTTTTAGATCTAGTTATCTGTAAATACTGAGAATTGACCACTGAGAATAATGTTTGTAGCCAATGAAACTTAAAATATGTTTAACTAACTATGATATATGTACTTGGAACTAAATGTACACTAATTTCTGGGTGTATGTTGAATTGAAAAGGTCAATAAGGTGAGAGGTTTTGTATCATATATGGGCAGAAGGGAAATGTATATAAGATTGTGTAAACACAAAGTTACTTGAATTTCAGACTTTGGTTGTTACATATAATGTATGGTCTGCACATATCACAAACTTGGAGCGCACATGCATTTCCAGAGATACTACAGAAAAATTAATGAGAAAAACAATTAATGTGGTTAATGTACAAAGATGCTGAAAAGGGGAAAATTTTGGCAGGGCAGAGGAAATAACACAGTAGATTACCTACAGGCTTGTAATTTGTTAAGAGCTGTCCCAGAAATGGCAATTCTGTAGTTCCAAAATATGTAGTAAGTATAGGTAATACATTTCAATAATCATGATATAAATGGGAAAAAGAAAAATTAGAGAGAAGAATCAATAGCAAAAGTTCAAATCAGTTTATAGACAAAGAAATATGAGGTGTCAGAAGGCATTGAGACCAAATATCTTTCGTACATTTCAGATGGAGACATTAGATGTTCCTGTACTGAGAAGTCATCCTCTAGAGCACCTGCACTGAACCATTGTTCGGGTTCTCATACTCAAAATGGAGATTTAAAATAGTAGCAACTGTGGGGTTCAGAGAAGAAAGGAAATTAAACCACAGGGGATTGGAAGAATGAATTCAATATTATAATTTGTTAAAGAGAAGAAAAGATAAGCACAAGGAGTTATGTTTAAAATATTAAACTTCCATATTAGTGTTACAGGATAGGTTGATTTCTTTGTGTGATCAGTGTTAAAATAAACTGTAAATTTAGATAGCAATGTAATTGTAAATGAAATTAAATTCATAAACTGAAAATTACATCCAGAAGATATACATGGAAAAATAACTAATTGTGTTACAGCCATATGAGATTTAAAACCCTAACTTTAGGTATGGAAATGTAGACAAACCATTTACAAATTGTATCATAGTAAAATTTGAGTTTATATCTTCATATAACATAGAATTCCTCTCTACTGTAGTTACATTCAGAACAAAAAGTGCTTCTTGAAAAAACTGTAGTGAAGATCATTTTATTTTTTTCCAAGTTTTGTCTGAGTGATTCTTTTACAATAAATGAATTTCCAGGAAAATAATACTTCAAACTGAGATATGAGAGACAGATGTGCTGATCCTACATACGGTGTCAGAGTTGCGGGCAGCTGCGTCTAGGGAGGTCTCTCCCTGCGCACGAGGTGAAACCTCAGCCCGCGTGGAGAGGTTTCTTGACTCTGAACAAGAAGGAATTCTTGAGCAGGTCGGACGAGTGTAAGGAAGGGATTCATTTGAGTGAGAGTAGACGTGAATGGCAGCAGCCTCGGAGGCGGCTGAGAACAAGAAACTGCACAAGGACTGAGATAAAGTTTGCCAAAGTTATCTTGGTATAGGGCACATTCATTTGCCATCTCCCAAAGCCAAGGTCACTTGGCGTTCTGTCTGCCTGCATCTGCACTGCCTGGGGACCAGCCCCCAGTGTGGCGAGGCACAGAGGGCAGGATGGAGTGAGATGATGCTCTGAGAGCTTCCCAAAGGAAGGGGGTTTCTTTCAGGCAGCTCCCGCAGCTGCAGCTCCGTCCAGGTCACCCAGGAGATGGGGACGCACAGGTCCAAGTCTGAGCTCTCTGCAGCTCCTCCGTGCTTACCAGCGGTAAAGCAGAGACTAAGTGAAGACTTAGAAATAGAATGAAGTAGAAAGAAACAAAGACGCTTACCACTGGAAAAGTAGAGAGACAAAACACAATGAAGTTGGTCAGTGAGAAAGCTTTATTTAAAGTTATGCACTTTAAGAGAGAAAAAGTGTGGTGTCCTCAGAGAAGGGGTGAGCTAAAAGACTGGGGTTTCTGTCTTTTAAATATTTTTCAAAAGCCTAGGGGCTATAGACTTGTAAAGTGGTCTCAAAATGCTTATCTCTGGTGAGAGACATTAAGTCTTTTCTATTATCAGCCCTCCAGGTAATTCGGCAAAATTAATACAAGATATTGCTCAGTTCCTCTTCAGGATACCAGCTTCCCTCTGGGAACATATCAATCAGGACCACCCACCCTACCCCCAAAGTGGATTGAGTTATTCTCTGTTTGCTAAAAAATATGTTAGGAATCATACTTCCTAACTTCCTCACTTTTAAAATGGAATCTTAGCTTTAAGATGAAATATTTCCTGCTCTTACTATACTATTCATATCTTAGCATTTTTCACTACAGGCAGGAAAAGTTAACTATGATGCTTGTCCCACATCCCTGCTTTACATCAATAGCATCATTAAAATTGAGTTTAAGAGCAGGGAAAGTCTTTAGGGTAATTTTGTGCTCAGTTTTTGCAGGTCATTTTAAAGTAATCATGGGCAGTTGAGCCACAGATCATACCTTAACAAGCAATGAGTTAAATCTCAACTGTGTGTCAATATCCAGGATGAATATAATGTCCGACTCTTAATAAAACTTTTAACTACACTTATTGGGGTGAGCATTTAATAATGTAGATAAGTGTCAAATCATTATGTTGTATAAACGAAACCAATAAAATATTGTACATCAGCTAGAGTTCAACAAAAACTCATTGAAAATTTAATCTACTTGAAGACTTTACATATATATGAACTAAATAAAACTTCAGTAAATAATAAACCTCGTGGGCAGGGTATTACCGAGTTCTGTAAGAGCACTACACATCCTAGCCCGACAGGGGGACTCAGCAGTCCTGTCCGTACCACGTTCCATGTTAACCACTCAGTAGTGGCAATAAGCTGAGAAGACCAAGAGTAATGACGGACCTGTCCCACACTCGGGGGACAATTGAATGAATTAGAAGAAAAACCCTTTCAAGGAAAATATTCAAGGTGATGTCCTAAATGGTTTTAGGAATCGTATGTTTCATGGTTTACTCCCTTAGTTTTCCAGATCAGCCAGCATTTCAAGAAATGGCTAATTCTACAGTGGTGACTGAGTTTCTCCTCACGGGCTTTGCTGAGAAGTGGGAGACAAGGCTCCTGCTCTCCCTGCTATTCCTTCTGATGTACCTGGCCACCCTCACAGGGAACATTCTTATCATCAGTGCCACCACTCTGGACCAGAGCCTTCACACACCCATGTACTTCTTCCTCAGGAACCTCTCCACCTTAGACATGTGCTACATTTCTGTCACTGTCCCCAAAGCCTGTGTCAACTCCCTCACTGACAACAGGGCCATTTCAGTGGCTGGCTGTGCAGCTCAGATCTTCCTGGTTACTTATTGTATGTATGTGGAGCTCCTGTTCCTCACCATGATGGCCCGTGACCACTATGTGGCCATCTGCCAGCCCCTACACTACCCCGTAATCATAACCCACCAATTCTGTGTCTGGACAACACTGGTCTCCCTGCTCAGTGGCCTCATCTATGCAGCTGTGCACACAGGGAACACATTCCAGCTGTCCTTCTGTCAGTCCAACGTGGTCCATCAGTTCTTCTGTGACATCCCTTCTCTGCTGAGCCTCTCCTGCTCTGACACCTTCAACAACTTCATATTACTTGTTGTTTCTGCCATATTGATTGGTTGTGGGTCTTTTACAGTTACCACTGTGTCTATATATTTACATATTTTCCACTGTGCTGAAGTTTCCAACCAAGGAGAGAGGAAAGGCCTTCTCCACCTGTGTCCCTCACATCCTGGTGGTGTCCGTGTTCCTCAGCTCTGCCAGCTGTGTGTACCTAAGGCCTCCAGGGGCCTCTGACTTTCTCCAGGGAGTGATTCCTACTGTATGTTATACAGTAGTTCCTCCATTCTTGAATCCCATCATCTACAGTCTTAGAAACACACAGGTAAAAGAAGCTTTAAGGAAAGTAATGTTAAGAAAATATTATTCAGGAAGTTAGTACAGATCCATTTCAGGTTCTTCCCAATGTCACTGAGATCCAAACATCTATAAAATAACTGCTTGTCAAGGTTTTGTGTATTAGACTGCTTACTCCAAAATATCTCTCTTGATATCTGAGTAATTAATGTATAAATTTCTCATTTTGTGTTCTATGTTACCCTTTCCACTTATCCTACATGACACAAAGTTTAATACACAGGTGCCACCAAATTTGGTCAGGAAATAACTTACAGCATTTTTACTGTCCAATCACTTTGGAGCAAGTAGTGTTTTGTGAGTTTTACAAAGAAACAGACTGTTGTGTTTTTTTAAATCATTGTCAGATATCTATAACATAAAATTTACAGTCAAATATTATTAAGTGTATATATTGGTACTGTTACTTAGATTCACATTATTATGCAACTGATACCCAGCACTCAAGCATGTTGCAAAACTGAAATTCTATATACCCATTAAACCACTTCTTTCCATTTCTACCTGCACTCTGTCCCTGGCAACAAACATTCTAATTTTTGTCCCTATGAATTTGACTACTCTGGGTACCTCATATAAACAGAATCACCTTTATGATTTGCCTTTTTATGGCTGGTTTATTTCACTTAACCATAATGTTCTCAGCGTTCATCCATGGTGTAGGATGTGTTAGAATTCATTTTTTGAGGCTGAATAATATTCTGTTGTAGGTACATACCACATTTTTCTAACCTATTGTTCTCTCACTGGACACATGGCTTAGTTCTACCTTTTGGTTATTTCCTTGTTTTAATTAGTTGTGGTCTGAAAATATGGACTATGTATTTCACATTTGGTGGAATTCATAGAGCATTTCTGTGTAACTGAAGACTATCTACACCAAGAGGAATTAACTTTTTTATCAAATTATTTTGAATGATTTAACTTTATAGCAAGCTGTTCATCCTTGATAGTGTTCTGCATCACAAAAGAGGAAATTAGAAGAATAATTCTCAGATGTCTCCTAGAGGATAAAAGTATTTAATTTTATTCAGGAGGAAAGTTTTAGGTACCATTGTTACAGAGACTTAGGGAGGAGACAAAGTTTGACAATTACCAGGGGGGTGGTTTTGACAGCATGTATGGTCTACATTTATTGTTTTACACTGAATACGAAATTAGGTTATATTAACTCAGTACATTTAAGCATATTTTCATATGTGTAGTTTCTCTCCCCCATTTGTTTTTGTTCTTTAGCAGACGTTACAGGAGGAAGAGAATTGTTTGATTAAACACAACTTCTGTGGGACACAATGAAAATGCAGAAATAAAACAAAACAAGCAGTAGACTCAAACACTGAGAAATGATTGGTGGTTCCATGGGGGAGGGGTTGGGGTCAGTGGGTGGGATTTATAGGGAAGATAAAGATGCACAAAATCTCAATCATAATATAAGTTGAAAAAATATATGTTGGTAATGGGGATGGAAGTGCATCATGGAGAATATAGTTAAGAGTTCTGTAATATCTTTCCCTGTTGACAATAGCTACAGTAGTTGGGGTGTGGATTTAATATTTTATATAACTGTTGGATCACTTTGCTGTATACTTGAAACCAATATAATATTGTATACCAACTATACTTCAATAAAAATAAATGAATAAGTACATAAATAACTAAAATTTCATATGTACAAGATACATGTATATATTTTTAAAGAGGACTTTACCCAGATTATCTAAAATTTTCTTACATGTCAAGATTAAAAACTCAAACAACCATATCAAAAAAGGATAAAAACTTGATAAAATGTTTAATTTAATCAAATAGGATGAATATTACCTATAATCACATGAAATCTATGTTCAACAGCATTAGTGGTAATTATCCAATAAATATCATAATAATGTGCCTTTGCACATGTAGTGTACTGGTTCATAAAAATCATGACAACATCAAATGAGGATGAGAATTTGGAATAAATATAATTCACTTGTTTTGCTGACCGAATGTGCAATGATATTCTGGGTTACATGCAATTTTGCTTGTTTCTAATAAATGTATAAATACAGCCACATATGGCCAGAAATTTTGATTCCTGGTTACCCTTAGAGAAGCAGTAATGTATGATCTCATGAAAACAGGAAAGTTCATAGCAGCTTTATTCACATCCATTAAGAAGAAGCAATTCAAATGTTCTCAACAGGTAAACAAACTGTAGTACAGCCACAGGATGGAATGAAAGCAGGATTTAAAAGAACTGGAGGGCAGCACATTGGCTGAATCCCAAAGACATTAATTGGCCCAGCAGAAAAAAGAGCCAATATCAAAAGGCCACAGAGTATATTATTCCATTCCACTGTCATTCCTGGAATAAATAGAATAGTGTTTTTAAAGGGTACAGGTGAAGGGAGATTGAGAACATAACCACAGAGACGTGAAGTTTGGGAATTGTTATATGCTATGTTCTGAATATTTGTGGTGACAAATCTACATTTGTGTGAAAATGCGTAAACTGTACAATGAAAGCAATGAAACCCATATGTAATAATTTTTTAAATATGAAAATGATAAACAAATGTCTCCCATAAATAATCTCAAAATATACGTTAGGAGATTAGATAAAAAGAGAAATTTAAACCCAGGCAAGCATAACGAAGGAAATAATAAATATAAATGTAAGAATTAATTATATAGGAAACAGAAATAAAATAGAGAACATTAATGAAACCAAAATTGTTATTTTGAAACATCAATAACATTGACAATCTTTGAAGGGAATATACAAGGAAAAAACAGAAAGACACGATTATTATATCTGAAATGAGAAAATGTTTTAAAGGATAATACAGAATATTCTGAAGAAGTTTATGCCCACATTGTAAACTTCAGTGTGACACTGAGACCTTCATTGTGATGGATTCATCCTTGACAGATTCAAACTACCAAAACTCACTTAATAATAGATATACAGCAAGTTCTTATAATTCTCAAATTAAATTGTATATAAAAAACATATTCACACAAAGAAGTGTCCAGATCTCATCAACTTCACTAGTAAAGTCCACCAAACATTAAGAAATACATACTATCAAATCCTATACAAACCTAATTGAAAATGAAGGAATATTTTCCAAACCATTATATAAGGCCAACATTCCCCTTACAGAGGAAAAAGATAAAGCCATTATAATAACAGAAACTATGGACCAGTATCCTATGCAATGAGGTGCTCACAAAGCCCGTGAGAAAAGCAGACCCCTCTCTTGCGGCCTGCCTGTCCATGGGAGAGCTCCCATGCCTGGGGGACCAGAACACCGCCGTGGGCTACCTAAACAGGCCCCGAGCTCCATGAGGATAGGAGCTCCTTTAGTTGGGACCTTCCCTATGTCTCTCCATCTGGCTGTTAACCTATATCCTTTAAGGATCCTTATTAGACTGCTACATGTGTTTCCCTGAGTTCTGTGAGCAGCTCTAGAAAGTCAATTGAGCCTAAGGGGGAGGCCATGGGAACCTCCAAAATGTAGCTGGTAGGTCAGAAGCACAAGTAATCGCCTGGGCCTTGTGACCAGAGTGTGGAGTTGGGGGTGGAGGGCAGTCCTGCAGGACAGAGCCTCTACCCTGGGGAATCGGGTGCTGTCTCTGGGCCGGAAGCATCAGAATAGAGTTGAGTTCTCAGACACCTTGCCAGTGTTCAAAATTGCTTGGTATTGTTTCAGGGAAGGTCCCCACTCACCCACCCATCACACACACACACACACACACACACACACACACATGCACGCGTGCACACACATTGGGAAAAGGAGTTCCTCTAGGAACACACTATGTCATGTCATTTTCATTTTAGAAGATAGCTATTTTTATTTCCTCAAGTGCCATTTGGGTTATTTATGCTCTTCATGTCACTACTTAACTTTAAGTGACTCAGTTGTTTTCTAATTGTAACATCTGCTTATGGCTTACGTCTGTTTTTATTGATTTCTACTTATCACGTTTTGAATTTTTCTCCTTGTTTGACTGTCTTATAATTGTTGATTGGTTGCCAGATATTGTGAATTTAACCATTTTAGTGTTATTTTGCATTCCACTAAAGATACCTGGCATTGTTCAAGTGCACAATTTAACCATTCAGAATCCCTTTATTGCCTTCCTGTCGTCCCTTGAGATTTATGAGGAGGACTGGAAGAGGGTTATCCTGATGCAAATATCTTCTGAACAGTCTACTGAGTGTCCTCTGAATGACAAGGTTTCCCATGTCAGCTGTCAGGCACAGGCACAGTTCCCGGCCCGTGTGAGCACCTGGCAGTCTTTGCTCTCATCCAGGTCGGGTCGGTAGCCCCTCCACTGGCCTTTGGCAGCGCCCCCCAGTGCGTGTGCAGATTTCCAGCCTTATTCCCTGTAGACCACTACTACCTGGGATTCTGAAATGTATCCAGCTTGATCTTTCCAGAACACAGCTTCCATCTCACCGAGTCATGACTTCAATGGATTCCACCAAGATCCCGCTTTCCCCCAAGGTTCCCCCAGGGGCCCAGGCTGCTCACGGCCATCAGCTTGGGCAACTGTGGGCTTGACTCACTTGCTTGGAGTCTCTTGAGGACTTTTGTCCTTTGTTGCAAGGTGTCCAGTGTCTTGAAAATTGTTTTAAGTATGTTATGACTGGGGTTTCCTGGTTGTTCAGGAAGGTGGCTCTGAAAACATGGGGCCCACAATAAATGTCAGCTGCTGGTATTGATGCCCTGGGTCAGTCCCTCCCCTGAGAAGCGGGCCCTGGACTTACTGAGTTACTTGTAACAGATGAAACACAGCATGAGCAATGGGACGGCACGTCCGACGCCAGTTATTAACCAAACACAGGAGCCATGCCGGGCACTCCTCCTGTTCTGGCACTGGCCAGCCCAACGGAAGCCCAATGCTGGCTCTTGAGGAAAAGCCCACAGATCCCCATGGCCAGTCCGGGGGCCTGTTGTGCAGTTACGCTCGTGAGCTCACATGCACACTACTCCTGCGCCACTAGAAGCTTTGCATGAGGAGGCAGCC